ATCGCAGACTGAGACTTGAACCTGGCCAAAACCCATGGTCTTCCAACTGGGATCACTCACCTGGTTTAAGGAGATAATGCAGCTCAGGTCCTTGATGTCTCATTGCAGAAAGAATTCAGTGGGAGACGAAGTGATAGGTAGGAAGTGGATTTCAGTAGAGAGAAACACACTTTACAGACAGTGTGGGCCATCTCAGAAGGTGAGCGCGGCCTCGAGATGTGGTGTGGTTAGCTTGTATGGGCTGAGTGATTTCATCGACTAATGAATGGGAGGGTCATTCCAGCTATTTTGGGGAAGGGGTGAAGATTTCCAGGAATTGGGCCACTGCTTACTTTTTGGTTTTTGATGACTGGCCTCAAAACTGTCATGATGCCTGTGGGTGTGTCATTCAGCGGGCTGATGTGTTACAATGAGCATGCTATACTGAGGACCTAGGTCTAGTGGAAGTCAACTCTTCCCCAAATCTAATCAGTTTCTGTCCTGTTTTCAGCGTATGTCATTCTGTGAAAGGTTATGACCTACCCCCTTCCCTCCTGTTTCATTAATAATCATACCCACTTCTTGAGATTTCCTTGGACAGCAAGATCAAACCAGTCAATCCTAAAGGAAATTAGCCCTTATTATTCACTGGAAGAGCAGCTAAAGAGCCTCTTGATGAATATGAAAGAGGAGAGTGAAAAAGTTGACTTAAAACTCAACATTCAGAAAACTAACATCATGGCATCTGGTCCTATCACTCCATGGCAAATAGAAGGGGCAACAGTGGAAACAGAAAGAGACTTTATTTTGGGGGCTCCAAAATCACTGCAGATGGTGACTGCAGCTATGAGATTAAGATGCTTACTCCTTGGAAGAAAAGCTATGACCAACATAGACAGCATATTAAAAAGCAGAGACATTACTTTGCCAACAAAGGTCAAAGCTAGAGGTTGCAAAGAGTCGGACACGATTGAGCAACTGAACTAAACTGATTCACGGGACAGACTGATGCTGAAGCTGATGCTGATGCTGATGCTGAAGCTCCAGTACTTTGGCAACCTGATGCAAAGAGCTGACTCATTGGAAAAGACCCTGATGCTGGGATTGGTTGAGAGCAGAAGTGGACAACAGAGGATGGGATGATTGAATGGCATCACCAATTCAATGGACATGAGTTTGAGCAAACTCTGGGAGATAGTGAAGGACAGGGAAGCCTGGCGTGCTGCAGTCCATGGGATTGCAGAGTCAGCCACAACTGAGTGACTGAGCAACCAACAAATGTCGCAGGATAGCCAGCTTGTTGGGCATCTGGATGCCAGATTCTTTTGTAGAACTAAGAGAGAAGTGGTGAGGAACCAATGTCAAGAGGCAGAATAGAGAGGGAGAGTTCAGCGAGGAAGTAAAGTAAAAAGGGCCATTGGCTTTTCAAATCATCTCTGATAATGGCCAGTCTTTGTAAGGGGTGTGTTAATCTCTTCTTTTCACAGGTGGACAGGGTCAGATTATCTCCCTGTGAGCTGATCAAAGGCACTCTAGTTAAACACTTAGGTAGAAGGGCAGGGTCCTCTGAGTCAGGCTGTTGCCTATAATAACAACAGCAATGAAAAGCAAGTCAAAGGGACAGTTCCAACGTGGAGTCAGAATTTGTTCTTCTCTGCAACATAACCACCAGACAGCCAGGGAATCCCCCTCATACTTATTTTCTAATAAGGGAATCAATTTGTGATTGAGCAGGACCCTATGGGGCCTTCCCAGGACAGAAAACCCTGCCCTGTATCCTCTGCTTTGGTTCCTCTCTGAAATACTTCGATAATAGTATCTGATACATACATCCCAAGTTTTTTTTTTTTTTTAATAGATGTGAAAACCCCCACCAAATGAAAGATGTTACCTGCTTGATGGCCATGAGCTCATAACCCACATAACCACATTCTATACATAATGGTTGGCATCTACTAACCCCAAACTCCCAATCTGCCCTTCCCTCACTCCCCCTCCACCTTGGCAAACACAAGTCTAGAAACTGAATATTTTAAATATTATAATGTGGTAACTGAAAGTCACAATCCCCCTCCATTCTAGAGATTGCTGTTGTTACTTGTTGAATGGTGCAGTTATCTGTTTAGTGACTTTTCCAAGCTCTTTCTGCAAAGACTGTAAATCTTGTTCTATGTGATCACTGAAGTTTCTGTTCTTCTGTCTCTGAGGGCAACCAGTCATTTCATTAAGGAGAAAAAAGGTCTTCCTTCCCTTTAAATTCTTTTAGCAGACAGTGCCCAGGAAGCCCTTTGGACCTAGAGGACTGAGAGAAAGGCCAGTTTCTTCTCTGCTCCCTCAGTGAACCGCTCTGCAAGTCAAAACACACATCCCCCAAAATTGAAGGACCGGGTTCCAGCACCCTGGTACCTGCAAGCCACTCTGTGAACACAAGCCACAGTCCCCACAGCTGCCTGCTATGTGAATGGGGCATGCATGATGGTACCTGCAAGTAAGATGTGACATTTACTGCCACAAACCTGCTTCTTCAGGCATTCCCATGGATGCTGCAAGTGTCTAACTAGACTTTAGAATTCTGAAACAGTGATTCTGACAGTTCTTCCCAGCTCCATAATTGATTTGGTTCAGGGACTGATTCTTGGGACTTCCTGTTCTACCATTTTCCATGATGGCACTCTTTTTTATATATTCTTGTTGGGATAATAGTCTCCATATTAAAATGTATTGGTGTAAATTATAAAAAGAATTTAAGTGAAGGCTGCTTAGGTGTATAAATAATGTAAGTATTGAATTGTTTCTTAGGAATTATTTTTCATTACACCTGTCCGTCTCATAAATTGGCTGGTTGACTGAAAGGATGGAATTTTACAGTATCTGTAGTGGTGTCATGATAGATCACTACATCGAATCTTGTGGCTGTATAGAGAACATGGCATGTCCTTGTTGTGTCTGTAGTTAGTCTTTTCCTCCTATTGGGTGACCCACTGATTAACTGGGGAAGAAATCCAATACAGTTTAAAACTTAGTCTAAGGTAATGAGTTAAATAGTCTATTTAGATATTGTCCAGTTCTCTCTGAGATAAAAATGCTCAGTGTCTGCTTTTTATCCTGGGATGGTTTAAGGGTATGGGGTGAGGGTTGTGGTGTATAAGATCTTCTGGCAGCCTTGGGGCACTGTTCATTTCCCTTGGTTTGATGTTGGCTACTTCCTCTGGTCTCTGGGGCAATGGCCCTTTACCTCCTAGTTGTGTTGACCTTATGGGTGGGTGCTGGTGTAACTTGCGGTAGGGCCTTTCTGGTTGATAAGAACCCAACAGTATCCCCTGACAGCATCATTTTCTCTTTGACTCCTCCTCTCCAAGCTCTCCTGGATGTCTTGTTGTTCAGTCACTCAGTTGTGTCCAAGTCTTTGTGACCTCATAGACTGCAGCATGCCAGGCTTCCCAGTCCTTCACAATCTCCTGGAGTTTGCTCAAACTCATGTCCATTGAGTTGATGATGCCATCCAACCATCTCGTCTTCTGTCCTGGACATCTGCCACATGTCCATCTGGCGTGGACCTTCATCCCCCACCTTGTTGCAGGATTATCCTGTTCCCTGGTGGTTTCCACAATCAATCCTCCAGCTCCGTAATCTGAGTCTCAGAGTTTTATCATTGCCTGACCGTGTTTGGAAAAACCCTGTCTTGAGACAATGGCCTAGCTTGTAAGACTGAATTTACTAGTAATCCTTCTTTGTGTGTCAGATGTTGCATATTGCTGCTTCTTATCACTTCCTATGTTCTTCCCTAGTAAATCCCAATTACTGCCTAGGGAGATGAATGCTTCCAGCAGACCAGGGCAAAGGCCATATACTCCAAGAGCAAAATAACTACAAGAATAATTTTCAAACACTGTCACATGTGGGTATATAAATACATATGAGGATAAAATTTAATTATCCTTAAATATTTAATTATAAAACAGTCATGTAATTCTAAATATATGCAGCCTTAAATTTAAGGAATATAGTATCTTTAGAAAAGCATAAGTGGTGTGCATGTGCACACCACTTATGCTTTTCTAAGAGGAGCCTAGTAGGCTGCAGTCCATGGGGTTGCTAAGAGTTGGACACAACTGAGCGATTTCACTTTCACTTTTCACTTCCATGCATTGGAGAAGGAAATGGCAACCCACTCCAGTGTTCTTGCCTGGAAAATCCCAGGGATGGGGAAGCCTGGTGGGCTGCCGTCTCTGGGGTCGCACAGAGTTGGACACGACTGAAGTGACTTAGCAGCAGCAGTTAAGATCTATATTCATGTGTTGTATAGAGATACGTTATAAAGAAACATATATGTTATACATATTTATATGTAATATATATTTTTTAATTATAGCAATATGACTATGTCATGTAAACACACAGAGTTGACCCTTGAACAATTAGAGGCATTGATTCTCCGTGCAGTTTAGAATCTGCTTCCCTGGTGTCTCAGTGGTAAAGAATCCACCTGTCAATGCAGGAGACACAGGTTCGATCCCTGATTCGGGACGATCCCACATGCCCTGGAACAGCTAAGCCCTGTGCACCCTAACTATTGAGCATGTGCTCTAGATCCTGGGAACCGAAACTTGTGAAGCCTGCATGCCCTAGAGCCCATGTTCCCCGCCAAGAGAAGCCACCACTGTGAGAAGCGTGCGCACCACAACAAAGAGTAGCCCCCGCTTGCTGCAACGGAGAAAAGCCTGTGCAGCAACGAAGCTCCAGCACAGCCGTAAATAAATAGATAAAATCATATTAAAAAAATAAAATCTGCACTTACAGTTGGCTTTCTGTACCTGTGGTTCCACATCTGCACAGTCAACCATTTGTGGATCGTGTAGTACTGTATATATATTTGATGAAAAACAATCCAAATGTAAATAGGCCTGTATAGTTCAAACCTATGTTGTTGAGGGTCCACTGTATATGTATTTAAGACCTTCTATCAACTTTCCCATCACCAAAAATAGTGTGATTTAACACACCCATTTCTTTCGTTGCAGGACTGTTCGTGTGTGGTTAAAGAGAGACAGTGGACAGTACTGGCCAAGCATATACCATGTGATGCCTTGTAAGTATCTGGATCTCTGTCTTTAAGAATCAGACACGGACCCCAACTCCCATTGCTTCCCAGATTGCCTGCTCTGTGTTTTCTTGAGTAGAGATACATGCGGGTTGGGATTATCATTATAATGGGAAGGGCCATATTATATCATTTTAGCTCTCAGTGTGTAAAATGAGAAAATTGTTTTGAAACTGACTGTATATTCACGGTTTCTGAGTAAGATTAATGGAAGGACTTCAATACCTAGGTTTCCTGATTACAGTTGTCTCCCTCTCATTTCCAACTTTTTGTTTAACTTTTTTGTAAAGTAGTTCCTTAGACAATTCAAAATTTTGTCCAGTGATTACATTTATGAAGTAAATTTGTTCTTACATTATTATTCTTTTATTTGTTCAAATTCAGGACATTGAGCATTGAACATTCAGCTCTCAAAAGGATTTGCTGTGGATTGAAATGTTCTAGTTAGAAGTCTGTCTCATTTCCCCAAAAGCTTCTGTGAGAAATATGTCCTTGCACTGATAAATAGTGAATCTTTCAAATATACTTTTTAAAAAAGATGACTAATTCTTAGATTCTTGAACTGGCAGAAGTTCCCCTGCAGGGAGAGAGCTACTGCCCGTGCCCCCCAACCCCTCCCCAGATAGGAAATTTCTTCATAGTCTATGGTTTTATCAAAATTAATGAAGTTTGGGTATCTTATTCCATATTTATTTTAGTGTAATTATTTGAATTCATTGTCAGTCATATTATTAAACATTTCTCTTACTCCCCTTCCTGCAAACCTTAATTGAAATTGACATGCTAGAAAAATGCCCTAGGTTTGTCATTTGGGTTTCTGTACCCTCTGGCTTCCTGCAATGTGCACCTCTTCCCTTGATACTGGTATCCCAGTTTGAGTAGTATATGCCACAACATACAACCCAGAAAAATTCATGCTGTACTATAGATATGCTAAATCTTATGCCTCTGGCAAAAGAAGATTGTAATAACTTAAGCAACAATTTTGCGTGTTTATGGACAAATACATTATTAAGGATGTAATGGATTTCTGTGATTTCAAATTTATCTTTGAGGTTTGCATTTCTTTAGAATTGTGGTGAATAGATGATAACCATGTAGTTGAACCAAGTATCCCACTCTACATTATCGAAAAAGAAACTTATAATTCAGTATAGTAAGTCCTCTACATGCAAATGAGTTCCATCCTGAGAGTGTGTTCTCATAAGTCCAGCAAAGTTAGCCTAGGTACCCAACGAATACCATCGGCTACATAGTACTGTACTGTAATAGGTTTATAATACTTTTCACACAAATAATACATAAAAAGCAAACAAACACAAAAAATAAGCGTTTAATCTTATGGTGCAGTACCTTTAAAAGTATAACAGTGTAGTATGACAACTGGCATAGGGGGGCACGTTCGCATCTTTGAACACTTGCAACTTGAAGGTTTCGTATGTAGGGAATTTACTGTGCTTAGAGTCTCACCTTACTGGTTGTGCCTCCAGCAGACGCCACTGCACAACAAAGACCCAAGGTGAACTTTCTTTTTAAGTCTTGGTGATGAGGGCTTAGGTAAATGGAAAAGGAAAAGAATTCTGTGATTGATTTTTCTTTTTTCCTTATTTTTAAGTCTTACCTATGGCCTTTTTCATCACACTTGACATAATATCCAGCAGGACGAGCTGGGGAAATTCTGTAGTCCAGCAAGTTGAAGTTGACCCCAGAGTCCTGTCATTCCCATGTGACTGTGAAGACAGGAGAGGCCAATGTGGGCAGAGTGACGAGGGCTTGGGGATGGCGCCTAAGGAATCTCATTGAGATGGGTGTTGATAGGAACCTAGTGAAATGTGGGATCCTAAACAGTTGCTTACCAACCACCCGCACTTCCCAGTACACACATCCACACACATCTGATGTCACTCTCTAATGTTCTCTTTATTGAAATATCACTGAGGATACAGAGAGGCCTCGAGTTGCATGTTTATCCTTTAGTAAGCTGTATCTGTGAATGACTAAAGAGAGCTGCTAGAGCTCTTGCACCCGACATAGGTGCTCAGTAAAGAAGTGCTTGTTGAAGACTTGAATCTGTTAATAAAGATGAGTTTCCCTGAGAGTATTATCATACATTTTCCTAAGTGACCGAATGTGATCTTTGAGAAGAATGACCCTCTAATTATTTTGCCTGTGACCGTCTATGAAAGGGAGTACCATGCTATCAACATGTGGTCTGTGGACCGGCAGCATCAAGGTCACCTGAGAACTTACTAGAAATGCAAATACTGGGCTCCACCTGAGATCTACTGAATGAGAATCTGCATTTTAAAAGATCCCGAGATGATTTGAATGCCTTTTATATTTTGAGGTTGCCTTTTGGCATTTTCTCCAACAAAAATGGAAATGGTTTTTCCAGTAGTCATGTGCAGGTGTGAGAGTTGGACCATAAAGAAGGCTGAATGTCAAAGAATAGATGCTTTCTAATCATGGTGCTGGAGAAGACTCTTGAGAGTCCCTTGGACAGCAAGGAGATCAAACCAGTCGATCCTAAAGGAAATCAACCCTGAATATTCATTGGAAGGACTGATGCTGAAGCTGAAGAATACCTTGGCCACCTGATGCAAAGAGCCAACTCACTGGAAAAGACCCTGATGCTGGGAAACACTGAAGGCGGGAGAAGAAGAGGGTGACAGTGGATGAGATGGTTAAGTAGCATCACTGACTCAGTGGCCCCTGACTGAGTTTGAACAGCCTCCAGGAGATAGTGAAGGACAGGAGAGCCTGGTGTGTTACAGTCCATGGGGTCACAAAGAGCTGGACACAACTTAGTGACTGAACAACCAACATGCTGATCTATTTACTTATGTTTATATGAACACATGTGAAGGCTCATGCCTGTACAGTGTTAATTTGTTAAAAATAGATATAAGTACACATTCTAGTTGATCAAATATTTACTGTGCACTGACTATATACAGGCCATCAAGCTGGATGCCAGCAGATGCAGGTGAACAGCGGGTGAATGGTCAGGATTATTTCCGTAATCTTTCATTGTTGGACGGTTCCATCTATCGTGGAGGGTGAAAAGAACAGAAGGCTGTGTTCTTCACAGTTGATTGGAAATTGGCTTTTATATTAGGGATCATATGCATTCAGATAACATAGGAACTGATCTCTGAGCAAGATCTTTTGTTTACCTTAAGAGAGGCAGAATCTTACTGCATAAAGAAATAGGCTACATTTTCATGTCATTTAGAATGTACTCATTTATTGAATTTCCACTTTTTTTTTGGGAAATCCTTTTTATTGGAATGTGTTTTGTTACAAGGTTACTCAGTATTGTCCTTAAATAAGGGGTGTGTGGTGGTAGTTACAAAGGGGCTTCCCTGGTGGCTCAGATGGTAAAGCGTCTGTCTGCAATGCAGGAGACCCGGGTTCGATCCCTGGGTTGGGAGGATCCCCTAGAGAAGGAAATGGCAACCCACTCCAGTACTCTTGCCTGGAAAATCCCAGGGACGGAGGAGCCTGGTAGGCTACAGTCCATGGGGTCACAAAGAGTCGGACACAGCTGAGCGACTTCACTTCACTCACTAAGTGGAAAACTACAGTTTACTAGAGGCTATAATATGGACACCACAAGGCAGGTATGACCATATTGTATGTTTATAGTTGTACAAAAAAAGGTAGTATTCCAAGTCCAGAAGAAAACAGATAAATCTTGTATGTGCAATATATGATTTCTTTGCTTACTTTGTCCATTAAAATACCTTTAAAAAAAAGTTGAACTCATAGAAACAGAGAGTAGAAAAGTGGTTGCTAGGGGCGGAGAGGTGGCAAATGTAACTTCAGTTATAGGATGTGTGGAATCTGGGGATCTAGTGTATAACATGGTGACCTACATTTGATAACTTGTAAGATTGAAATTTGCTGAGAGAGTACAACTTAAATGTCCTTACAAAAAAAAAAAAAGGATTAAATATGTGAGGTGAATTAAAAATGTGTTAATTTGATGGCAGGAATCCTTTCACAACATATATCAACTCATGACTTTGTAAGCTTCAAATACCTTATAATTTTACTTGAAAATTATACCTTAATAAAGTTGGAAAAGAATAAAGTCACAGAACCTGAAATATCAAACACTGAAAAGAAAAAAGCCCTTTTAATATGGTGTTTGTCACATTCTGAGTAGGATAGTAACATTTTGTAGCATTGAGAAGTCTTTGGAGTTGATTGCAGGGAAGGGAGCAGAAGACATTAGATGAGCAGGAATGAATACTGAGGCCCCGTTTGAGGGCAAGGAGTGAGCCTAGAAGGCAGAGTGTGATACAACTGCATGAACTTCAGAGAGTGGCAGGTGAGAGAAAGATGAGGAGCAGGCGCATCGTAATCGAAAACCCAGCCGCTGCTTTGGAGGTATCCTCATACTGTCTCTTCTGAGACATCCCGCTTCCCTGGGCTTCCTTGGAGGCTCAATGGTAAAGTGTCCTCCTGCAAGTGCAGGAGACTCGGGTGGGATACCTGGTACGGGAAGATCCCCCAGAGAAGGGAAAACTCACTCCAGTTTTCTTGCCTGGACAATCCCATGGACAGAGGAGCCTGGTAGGCTATAGTCAATAGGGTTGCAAAGATCATGACTTGCTTCCTCTCCAGGAGGGAGGGATCTAGGAGAAACTAGATTTGCCTGGTTAAGGCTGTTTGCCCCTGAACCAGTCCAGTTTTCCCAGGATTTTAGAGTTTGTAGTAGGAAATGCTAGTCTCAACTTAGGTTGGTCCCTGGAGCTGGGAACTCAGAAATCCAACAGCTGTGTGGCATTTGTGTGCATGAAGGAAGTGTGAATCACTTGGCTCCAGATGGAGAGAAGCCTGAGCAAGTGATGCCTTAAGGTTTTCTTCATGCTCTGAACCCTCAAGCTTGGCTCCGATTCTGCCCTTGAGTTCAAGAGGTACCCTCTCTCTTACTGCCATATGCCTATTTGCACTTAAGTCCATGCAGTGGGTTCCTGCTG